GCCATGTGAACGCCAGACTACGTCTCGCGTACCAGGCTTCGCGGTATCTCACGAAACACTGTTACGCTGCAACGCGCCTGGCATTCATCTACCTTCGCCTGCGGCCCTGACACCCAAGTCAGGCAAAGGAAAGAGTCGTACATAGGCCTTCGGCCCCAAGAGTCACAAATCCCGCTCCCCAGGGTTTTATTTTGACGAGTTGACCCATCAGAAACCATGAGTAAAATATCTGAACAAAAACATTGAAATGGTGTGACGATGTCGTCCCTTTGGCCGACTCCGACACTTCTTTGACCTGGGCAGAGGACGAAGACACGGGCCCCACTGTTGTTGACCCAAACAACGTGCCTGAACTCAGCAAAGCTCCTCAAGAGGAAGATTATGTTCTACTTCGGAGAGAACAAATTCAGAGGGGAAGGAAGTCAGAAGTTATCTACACAGTTGCAAAAGTTCTTACAGAACCCAATGAGCCCGGCAGTGTGCAAGAGAGTCTTCTCAAAAACAACCCGAGAGCCAAGGATAAATTTGTTGTCTCTGATCCTGCCAAAATAGAGACTGTTAATGTCAAGGAAAACATTATGATGCTTTTGCCCAAACCAAATGTGGGCACAAAGCGACAAAACTATAATCTTAGCTTCCATGTCGATTTCAGCCTTATCCGGCTGACTGTTTAATTTACTGTCTATTTAGTTGGCTGAGCGATTAGCGAAGCCCATTACTCCACTGACCGGAAAATTTTCATTCTGTTTGTCTGTCTGTCTGTTTGTCTGTCCGCACGATAACTCGAGAAAGAACTAAGAGAGCGATCTGGGAATTTCAGGGTCGTTTTGTATCATAAAAAGACAGATCCAGTTCGAAGATGAGCATTCTAGCTCAAGAATTGACTTTTTAAAAAATCATAAACCGCAGGTTGCAAAATGTTTCTTTTTTTCAAATATTTTTTTATGGGCTCCTCAGGGGTAACTCTTAAAAGTAGAGCCCTAAGGGCGAAAATTTCGTCCGTTTTGCTCTATCCTGTACCGTTTCGGCGCTATTGGGCATTTCCTGGCGAAAATAACGTGAACAAGACAAAATGGTCTTTTAAATCGTAAACAAGCAGGCCCGCCCTTCCGCCAAACGAAGTTGCCAGCTTCGCTTCGCTGCGCCGGCAACTCCGTTCGGCAGGGACCGGGCCTGCTTGGCCTGCCGGCGGCGATGGTCGGGCCTGCGGCCCGACCATTTCTGTCACGCGATTTGCTGTAGAACATAACAAGGTAGATATACGCCAGGCCACGTCTCGCGTAACAGGCTTCGCGATACCTCACGAAACACTGTTACGCTGCGACGCGCCTGGCATACATCTACCTTGGCCTGCGGCGCTGACAACCGAGTCAGGTAGTGCAAAAATGTGCACAAAGATACGGGCCTCTGGCCCGTCAACGCCCGTCACTTCGACTAATCATACAGTGTTGTACATTTTTCCGCTTATTTTCGTCAAAAACACCCTCTAGCGCCTCAACGGTTTGAGCTAGAGCAAAACGGAGAAAATTTTCGCCCAAAGGGCTCTACTTTGATGAGTTACCCCTAGGAGACTGTAAAAAAAATATTTTTAAAAAAAATTATTTGTGGGACCTGTGGTTTTTGATTTTTTAAAAATCTAATTTTTGAGCTAGAATGCTCTTCTTCGAACTCGATCCGTCTTTTTATTATACAAAACGACCCTGAAAATCCCAGGTCGCTAGCTCAATTCGTTCTCGAGTTATCGTGCGTACAGACAAACAGACACACAGACAGACAGACACGAAACTTTTTGATCATCACTGGAGTAATAGGCTTCGCTATCGCTCAGCCAACAAAAGCTCTTTCTGGTGGATTACAATAGTTCCGTTAACGTTTAAAAATGTATTTATTTACTAGCCTGCCATTGCCTCCTTAATTACGACCATTTTAGACGCGTCTTTCTGATATATACTTGAATTCTGTTCGCCTACGAACTCCTGTTCGAGAAGTGTTCGAACAATTCGAATCCGAACACCTCATGTTCGTGTTCGAGCGATCACGAACAGCTCGATGTTCGTTCGAGTTCGATCGAATTCGAACTGTTCGCTCACCTCTATACCGCTGGATTCGTCTTGATAGGCACTACATGTTTCAGGTGTCGGATGAATTTTAACCGGCAGCATTGGGGCCTAAATGGCTAATTTTTACACTTTTGGGGGATTTATTAGCCATTTAGGCCCAAATGCTGCCGGTTTAATTCATCTGACACCTGAAATCGATAGTTCTCATCAAGACGAATCCATCGGTACCCTCATTTTTATTTTAAAGCGTTTCTTTTTTTTGTTGCCAACTTTTCCTTTTTTTTTTTTTGGTTGGTTTGGCCAACGAGCCAACATTATGCACGTGAATTGTTGAGGGGTCATTCCCCATACTCCAAGTGCATCTACTACGAAAGAGGTTGCCTTAGCCGAGCATTAGGGTGTCCCACAAAAAGGTGAGTGACAAAAAATTTAATCACAGTACGAAAAGCGAGCCGGCGGAAAAGCTGTGAGACTCAGGGAACAGGTGTCAGTGGTCAAAGCCGTTACTTCATTTTGCTTTGTTTTTTAAATTTATTGGATCTTATATTTCAAGGCCTGGCAGGACAGCAAAGGCAGGCACATCTGGTTGTGTTGAGAGAATTTGAATCTTGCAGAAAATTTCCTTACAGGTCTACCTTAATTCATTTCTAAAAGTTAATCAATCATGACATGTAAATTATTTAAACTGAGAGACTATTGAAGGAAGGGAATTCCACTTCCAAACCAGAGACACCTATTGTCTGTTTAAAACCAAGTGTAAAAGGAGTAAGGGTTGGCAGAACATTAAAAATACAAACAGAAAATTAATTTTTACAATTTAGCTTTTCGAGCCTGGCCTGCTGGCCAACAAAACTTCGTCTACCAAATTGTCCATCCGATGTGATGCAGCTCTAAGGAATTTGAATATTGCTTGATTGATTGGTCATGGAGGTCGTGCTAAATCTCAGTTAAGCTCGTCAAGTCTGGCGTCATTTTCTATGGCTGTCCGTTTCCGTGCCTCGTTTGGTCTTTTACCTCTCTGAAGGGAAAAACACATATTGTACGCACGTTGCTCCCATGTTACTAGTCCGCCTGCAAAAAATTAGGTTCTGTTAGTGAAATTTGATGCATTTAAAATTGCAATGGAAAAACGGTTTTGCCAGCAAACCGCTATTATTTCATGGTACTTACTGATGAACCTGTACACATTAGGATTTGTCCCTACTGTCTCTCGTAATGTCCTATTTCGGCTTTCGCAAACATTGTTCTCTGTTCCAAGGAATTACAAGACATTTTTGCCCTCCTTCATGGTTGATACAACCAATATTCCTAAACATGAGTCAAGCAGGGATGCACAATGTGAAAGATGTAGTTGCCTTCTTCTCTGGCATGTTAAGTAAGGCGGAAACCTTGCATGATCAAAGTCTCGGGGAGTAGTGGTAGAGCCAAGGTCAACCTAATTATCCTCTGGACCTCAGGAATAGCCCTTATTATCAATAGTATTCCGAGAGTCAAAACTTCTTGCCTGTAGGCCTGGAATAGTAAAACGATAAAGAAACATACAAAAGGAAAAATATTCTAGGAATCCATTTTCCTGTGTTCTTACACGAACAAGATGCCACAGACAGCCTTGGCAAGCAATGCAAAACACAACTTGCCAAGCATTTTGCTGTTCAGTTTCAAAATCTGTAACAACCGTCGTGAAGTTGACATTGGGCCCAGTTAGATGACGAAGAAGCCTCAAAACAGAAGTATACGCCACCCTAGTAGCAGATTCCATTGAAGCACAACTAAGGTACACTATATGGTGCCGCCACACTCCAACAATGGCCAATATCTGGAAGAGAAGGAACTTTTGTGTGACGTATATGGTTGGCTGAGCGATTAGCGAAGCCTATAACTCCGTCTGGTCGGAAAAAACTTTTTCTGTCTGTCTGTC